TATATTTGAAGATATTTAAAAACACTGTTTTTCAGCTATTTTTAAGAATCGAAGCGTGGAGCTCATCGAAAGTTCACTCAAAGTGTTTTAACCTCAACCACATCCAGTTCTTAGTCTAACTTTTAAATCAAACTTAAAAATCATAGTTTTATAAAAAAACAATATCATAGGAAATTCAAATAATCGAATTAAAAGCTTTGAACATAAAAAACACGCGCACAGAGTAAAGTATTTGTATATTTGGCCATTTATCGGGTCGACATACATTATTATCTACTTCCTGGGGAACACATAAAGGTATTTGCACAAAGATATATGACCAAATTCGAACAAAGACAAACATCGGAAGGTGTTCTCAAAAGGCGGGAAAGAGATGGCGCGATAGCCCTATGCTCGCCAAATTAAAAACAAATTTATTTTTGCAGCAACCAAATGACTCTTAATGTGGAAATAATTGTAATTGCTTGCCTGAAAAAAAAAACAATTTGCTTTATTTGTACCTTTTTTTGTTGTACTTTCGATTGTTTATTTTTGACTTATTTTTATTGTATTTTTTTATTTTTGTGTGTCCCAAGGCTTTTCAGTTCGTTATGCAATAATTGTAAATGAACTTGTTTTAATTCTTAAAAGTGTAGGTTGTTCGTTTGTTAGCTACTTAATTGGTTAATATATTTCTGGTTTTTTGGTTTGTCAATAAATGTTAATTTTAATATATGAAAAATATTAAAAATATTTTTCAGCGATTTTTTAGTCATTCATTTTAAATTGAATTTTTAGCGGTCCTATTTTCTTTGTCGTTCAATATATGTACATACTTTGAGTGGCTCCATCTGTCGTGAATCTTGAGTTAAATATTTTCACTTTCACCACCCACAAAATGGCAATAAATAAATAATTTTTGATATATTTTTTTTGTTTGATTTTAATTGCAATGCTTTTGTTTTGATGTTGTTGCTATTGCTTCAAAAATTGGCCCAAGCTTTTTGTTGTTTGGTTGCCTTTTAATTGTTTTTACACATTTATTGGGGTTAAGGCCTTCTTAACTGGCCATCACCTTTTGTTTTTTATTTTTAATATTTTGTTTTTGTTGCTGCTTCTCGCACATTTATCCACTGTTTTTTATTTATTGTATATTTTTGCCTGCTTGTTTTTGCTTTATTTTGAAAACGTGCAAAAAAACAAAATAGGTAAAAACGATTTCTCTTTTTTTTTTGTGCTGATGGGGGCGTGAACATTGCCAAAAATAAGAAAAAATAAATAAAAACAATAATATTCAGAAACATAAATCCATATGTGCGGGCCATTTTGCATTCGCAACTAACGGTAAATAAATTAACATTTTGTGTGTTGTGACAGGTAGCATAGCACTCTCTCTTTTACTCTTCCAAGGGAAATTTTAATATTCTACTTAAAATACATACATTTATTATTTTTTGTATTTATTAATTTATTTTAAGCGAATATTTATTGAGTTTATTCTATACCTTTAATTTTTTGGAATTAATATTTTAAATTCGTACCTACATTTTTGTAAGGTAAATATTTTGTATATTTTTTTCCTATGTGCATATGTAATTAGTAATTACAGGTTGCTTTATGTATCATACTTTGTTTGTGTTTCTTTTTCGAATTTTTCCCATTAAACAAGCAAAATCGCAGTCTTTATTTGTTTTTGTTCTTGAAGAAGAAATTTGCTCTTGTTCGTGATTTTTTTTTGTACAATTTTTTCTTGCTCATTTCGCATTGCAGGCGTCGCAGTCTCGCTTTTCGCGTCTTATAGAATTTTCAAGGTCATCCGCGCATGCGAATTATTTTTTTTGCACTCTGTTTTTCGTTTTATTTTGTTTGCGCGAGTGTTCGAATATTTTTTTCTGGCAAAATACATATGAAAAACTTGGGGCTTCAAAGGTACTCGAAAGGGGAGGGAGATGGGCGATAAAGTTGAGCGACCCTCCTTAGCAACACGTGTGGTCTGCCCTCTCTTTCTAGCTATCTATTTGCCTCCCCCTCTAATTGTTTTCGCTTGTATGCAATAAACATTATATATTGGCGTTTGCAATAGGTGAGAATGCAAAAATTATATAATTTTAAAGGGTAGTTTTCAGGAAAAAATTACAGCTCACTACTTATTCTAAATTTTACATTTATTTTGTATAAATTGTTTTCTAGTTTTGAATCTACATACATATTTATTTATTGACAAACCAAAGTTTGGTTTAAGATAAAAAATCATACATTAATTAATATAAATTAAAAAAAAATATTAGAGAGAAAATAAAAAGTCAATGCTTAAAAAAATAGTATAATATATAAAATAGTACAACATTTTGGAATGGAAGATGATTTATAGTATTCCCATTTCCGTTATGTATTGTTGCACATATCCAATCCACACTGTAACTGCAAGGTTTTCTCCACTTTATCTTCCTCTTCTTCTCGTTCATCATCCTCTTCTTTGTTTTGCACTTTGTTTTGCCAACGTGAGCCAAGTCGCGTTGACAAAAGCAACAACAATTTCATTTATCATTTCAGTTTTTTTGTTTTTATTATTATTGCATACAATTGAAAAAGCTAAAAACAACCATGAGGGCAAAAAACAAAAAAAAAAGGAATTTCATAACTTGAAATTGAAGAAAGTAAATTAAAAAGTAGTCAAGTACCTCGACTATCAGATACCCGTTACTCAGCCAAAGGAAGTGCGAGAGAGATGGAGATATTCAGGCAGTAATGCCACTGCTTGAATTTAATTATTTGTTCGTAACTTTCTAATGAGTGCTCTGATTTTAAAAATGTCTTCTACATTTCGATAGGTATTATTTATAACAACCAAATTGCATTTACAACTTTCCTTCTACCTGTACCATACTTTTGCACGAATACAATATACCCTTTTATAAAACATTTCTAGATCCCTTTTTAGATGTTGTCACGTCACTTTAGCTTTTAACCCCATACATTTCAAACAATTGTAGATCACATGATATAACCCACTGCTTTACCTACACATTTAATTTTTTCGCTCAAAATGAACAGTGATCACTTGGTAAAAACAACCTAATGATCATTCTTATTATATATTTTAATTTATGGTTTTAAAATTACAGAAAAATAAATATAAATTATGATTAGAAATAACTTCAAACAGTATTATAAATTAAGAAGAAGTATATTTGTACATATGTATAAAAGACTGCACTTTTCACAAATTAATTAAATGTCGGAATTGATTTTTGCCTCTTTTTGTTTTCTTCAAAATTCGAAATTGACTCATAGAACTGCAGTCTTCTTCTTCCAGCTGTTGATTAGTATTAGTTCATGCTTTTGAGGTGACCTTGAATAAGTTTACTAACATTTGGCGTTTTTTTGGGCGTTTTTCATTGCCCGCTTTTTCTATGCGATTATTTGGCTCTGTGCAATTTTGTTGTTGCTTGTTTTTTTGCCACTCCCTCAACGCCTCCCCCGCTCATTCCATCTCTTTTTCGCTGACGCAAATTAGAAAAGAGACAGCGCTACATGTACAGTGGAGATTCAAATAATCTAATTACAGTGGGCCACCAACATATTTTGTTCTTTACTTTTTAAACAATTCTATGGAATATTTTTAGTTTTAAATATTTAATAAAGAAATAAAGATTTATGAAATTAAAACTGAAACATAAAACTTGATCACTACTTAGGGAGAGTTCACAGTACTTTTTTCGTATATTTCTAGGTTATGGTCAAGGCGAAATCTAAGCAAATTTGAAGGCTAAACACAAACACGAAAAAAAGAAAAATAGAAGAAGGAGAGATTTTGTTGTTGTGGAATTCTTCTGATAATTATTTTTTGTTTTCTATTTTGTGGCTCCCCTTTTGAGGCTTTTTTGTTTGTTTACGCCTCCGCAAAGAGGAGCGAAAGAGATGGGGCGACAGAAATTTCGCGGAGAGATAAAGGTGTGTTGAACTTTAGCAAAAGTACATTTAATAAATTATATTTATTTTGGTTTTTAGCTAGCTGCGAATTTGCTTTTTCTTTTCTTGTTTGGTTGTGTGTGTGTGTTTTTATGACCTTTTTTATATTGTTTTTGCGGCGCTTTCAAAACAAACAAAAGCGCTCCCTCTCTTTTGTTTTATTCCCTCTCTCTCTTTTGCTCTCAGAATTTTTGCACGTGTATGCAGCGGTCTTTCTTCTTCTTTTCAACACGTAAGCTTAAAAGAAAGAGAAGCACAATGCTACAGTCGCATAAGTGCGAGTGGGAGCGCCATAATAGGGGTTAAAAATAAAGAAACCGCGATTTTGCCACTGACGTCAACAAAAAAAAGACCAAATATGAAATTCTGTGACTACATTGCAAACTATTAAACAAATAGTTGGCCACTATTTTCATATTGTTTCTTACCTTTGTTTATTTATATTTTACTACTAATTAACCGATTTTGGCCGTATTCAACTTTGTTTTCTAGGTAAGTGCACTTTTTTCAATTTCCGCTTTTATATTTCGTAAATCTCAACACTTTCTTTGGCGCTTTTTCGTTGAACTATCGCACTTTAAAAAAAAATAGGGAAAATAGTTGATAATTTGTGCGCCGATTGTTGTTGTTTTCTGTTTACTTGTAGTTGTTGTTGTTTTTGCAGCCCGGTTTTTTCGCAATTCGCATTGCAACGCACTCAAGGTTTGGTACTCACTATATTTGGTATTTAAATACGATACCGATAGTGTGGTGAAAATACCAACTGGAGATGGGCCCACTTTGGACCGCCAAATTTGAATTTATTTATTCGGCTTGGGTAGTAAGCATTTATATCGAAAAAAGAACCAAGCTACTATTTTGTTTTATTAACCACCAAGTTCCCCTGTATATTTTAGACATGATTTTAGTTTCAAGCAACCGCTTGCGGATTTTTTCTATGGAATTTTAACATAGTTTAGGAAATATTAAATTTATTTATTTTACTTGTTAAATTAAGCATTTATAAAAGCTTCATATGAAATTAAAATACGGAAAATAAGTTAAATGCTTCTTCTTCTCGCTGAGGAGGTTGCCACCGCTAGGCCAGCAAAGACACACACCCAAACAAATGTTATCGATGTTTGGCCACCTCTAGTCGGAGGACCACCTGATATCGATTAGCCTATCAAAGTGGACCACCTGATATCGAAATACGGACAACATAAGATATTCCAGGATATTCCAGAGGATCTACCAATTTTCGGCTCATTGCCGCGGAGCAAGTGCATCGTCCGTCCTGACCAACCGGCTGGGCGCGACTGCTTGGTTAGGATCCGCATCCGCCGCAATGTCGCAACAACAACAGCCGCCGGATGGCGGGATTTCCGAAATGGAAACGGAGGAGGAGCAGCCGGCAACCGAATCCTGGCGTGGCCTGCCCATGGAGGCCATACGTCGTCACCTCCGACCCTTCGAACTGGAAACGCTGCCGGCCGTCGCCGCTGGCAATCTGCACCGGGTTATGTACCAACTGCCCATCCGGGAGACGCCACCGCGGCCGCACAAATCGCCGGGCAAGTGGGACTCGGAGCATGTGCGTCTGCCGTGCGCGCCAGAGTCGAAATACCCGCGGGAGAATCCCGATGGCAGCACCACCATCGATTCGCGGTGGGGCATGATCGAGCGGGCTCTGCTGCAGCCCATCGAAACGAGCGAGGAGCTGCAGGCGGCCATTCTGTCGTATAACACGACATACCGCGACCAGTGGCACTTCCGGGCGCTCCATCAGCTGCTCGACGAGGAGCTGGACGAGAGCGAGTCGCGGGTCTTCTTCGAGGACCTGCTGCCGCGCATCATTCGCCTGGCTTTGCGACTGCCGGACTTGATCCAAGCGCCGGTGCCGCTGCTCAAGCAGCACAAGAACGCCTCGCTGAGCCTGAGTCAGCAGCAGATCGCCTGCCTGCTGGCCAACGCCTTCCTCTGCACCTTCCCGCGGCGCAACACGCTGAAGAGGAAGTCCGAGTACAGCAGCTTTCCGGATATCAACTTTAACAGGTAACTTTGGCATAGAGATAAATAGAGATACATTTATATGGCTTAATCCCCCACAGACTCTATCAATCCACGGGTCCCGCCGTGCTGGAGAAGCTCAAGTGCATCATGCACTACTTTCGGCGCGTGTGTCCCACGGAGCGCGGTGCCAGCAATGTGCCCACCGGCGTGGTGACCTTCACGCGACGCAGCGGCCTGCCGGAACATCAGGTCGACTGGGCGCAGAGTGCGGCGCCGCTGGGCGATGTGCCGCTGCATGTGGACGCCGAGGGAACGATCGAGGACGAGGGCGTCGGCCTGCTGCAGGTGGACTTTGCCAACAAGTATCTGGGCGGCGGTGTTCTGGGCCATGGCTGCGTTCAGGAGGAGATCCGCTTCGTCATCTGTCCGGAGCTGCTCGTTGGCAAGCTGTTCACGGAGAGTCTGCGCCCGTTCGAGTCGCTGGTCATGCTGGGCGCCGAGCGGTATAGCAACTATACGGGATATGCCGGCAGTTTCGAGTGGTCCGGCAACTGTGAGGATTCCACACCGCGGGACAGCTCGCATCGGCGGCAAACGGCCATTGTGGCCATCGATGCCCTGCATTTTGCCCAATCGCAGCATCAGTATCGCGAGGATCTTATGGAGCGGGAGCTGAACAAGGCGTATATCGGATTTGTCCACTGGATGATCACGCCGCCGCCGGGAGTGGCTACCGGGAATTGGGGCTGCGGAGCCTTCGGCGGAGATCCCTACCTCAAGGCCCTGCTGCAGCTGATGGTCTGCGCTCAATTGGGCAGACCTTTGGCCTACTATACCTTCGGTAATACCGAGTTCAGAGATGATTTCCATGACATGTGGCTGTTCTTTCGCAGCGAAGGCACTACGGTGCAGCAGCTTTGGAGGGTATTAAGATCCTTCAGTAGGCTGGTCAAAGAGAAGGGCTCCAAAAATCTAAATCTATACGAATTTATTAGGGAGGAACTGAAGAAGAAGCTCAAAGAAGAGGCTCCATCCGCAGAGGCGGGAACATCTAAGGCGAGCGGCTCAGGAGAAGCGGAAGCAAAGCCCTCGAAATCAGCGAAAACGTCGCCGGAAATCACCAAAAAAAAAGACACCATTACGCAGCAAAGTCCCGATCTCTTTCCCGCGCAATCATCGCTGGATAATTCCGATTCCTCGCCGGAACAGGCCATTCTCATGCTGTCCGATGACGAGGAGGCCAATGCCATGATGGAGGCCGCCAGTTTGGAGGCGAAAAACAGCGAGGAGCTCAGCAGCAGCAGCACCACGAAAACAGGAGGATCCGGTGGCCGCCAGTTGACGCTGCTCGAGATGCTCGACTCTCATTACGAAAAGGGACAGGCCTCGAAGAGGCCAAGAAAAGCACCCGAGGGTCCAGCCAAAAGCCGGAAGGAGAACAATGTGGAGGACAAGAAGGATCAGGATGACTAAGTGATATTGCCCTAGAGGATTTGTACTGCCCTAAAATAAAAAGTTCTAAACTAAGACGTTTTAAAGAAGGCTTAAAATTTGAATGTGCTTGGTTTACAATGGAGTTTGCATTTTAAACATGCAGACATTTTTTTTTGGAAACTTAAATGCTCTTTGACACTTGGTAAATTTGAAGCGTTGCTTACAGTCTTTTAATTTTAAAAATTGTTACATTTTCTATTAAAAATTCTTATGAAAACACAATTTTTTTCTTAGGTTAATATTTATATAAAAATATTAAATTAGTTGACTTTTAAATAAAAATTTTGAGAAATATTTAAAACTTTCCTGTACTCTATCTCTGTTCAATAATGTTAAAGTTATCATTTTATGATATTAAAAAAACTTTAATTTACGTACATAAAACAAGATCTATGTGTATAGCAGGAGTTGTATAACGTTGCATTATTAAATAGGGTAAACACATTAAAAAATGAGATATTCGATTATTATCAATTTTATATTCAATTTTCAAAGAATTGTTATAATAGTTGTATTACAAGCAAAACCATATTAGTATGTTGTATACCGATATTATTATTTGTGAAGTGATATCATGTTAATCATGTTAATGGATTCAAAGAGGACATTGATAAATTGTAAAAAATGTAAGTTCCGTACATTACCGATGGACAATTTAAGATTTATAATTTTCTCAGCATCTTGATATTCTTGTAATTTTCTAGGCTAAGATAGCAAAAGGCATGTATAAAAATTGTTTGTAGATTCTTTAAATGCCTAATATATAATATGTAGTTGAACTTAGTAAAGTTTTTTTAACCAAAACCTTTTTATTTTCAATAAGAGTTTATTTCACAACAACAAGAACATCAACAACAACCACGAAAATAGGTATGTAAATGGCAACTCGTTTTCAGTTAATTAAAACTATGCAACATGAAGTTGTTAAGAAAAATTCAGCATAGAGTTTTATAAAATAAAAAAGCGAAGTATTTCGGATAATATTATGTTTGGAGTTTCAAAACAACAAAGCTTTAACAATTTTTTCCAGGTCGTTCATGGCAACTAATGGAAGTTCGTACAGACCTATTATGTTAATACTTTTTCGAAAAAATTATTATGTTTCGATAAATCATTAAAAAAAGTGTATAACTTCAAAATTTCAAAATATATACATTTTTTATTTTTTTTTAAGTTTTTTTCTGATAATTATCGATGTAGACTGGCAAATGCATTATGTTTATTACAATTTCGTATACAGCGGATATTTAGTATTTAGTTTGAGCTTCGATCTGAAGACCCCGTTTGGTGAACCCTCTTGGTCTTGGAGATGTAGCATCTGGGTTCATCGTCCTTATCGTTGGACCCACCTACATGGGCCTCATCTTCCTCCTCTTGGAATTTATGAAAGTTTGTGGAGCTCCTGTCCTGTGTAATTTGTTTTGTCGCCATCCTCCAGACTGCGTGGACGTAATGGATCCGAATCCTCTGCGGTGAAGTGATACAGACATGACCCTGCCCGAAGTTGGAGTCCCGTTTCGGGACGCAGAGTCGTCTTGTCTTTGATCGGTCCTTGAGACTGGTAGAAGCTGCCCGGGTGGTCACCGTAGGATGCATCACATTGATGATGCACCATCCGGTGACCGGTGAAGCTTCTACCCGGCTGAAGGAACCGATTAAGGACAGAATGACTTTGCATCCCAAAACGGGACTCCAACTTCGGACAGAGTCATGTCCGTATCACCTTACCCCGCAGGATTCGGATTCAGTAACTCCGCGCGATCTGGAGGATGGCAACAACACAAATAACACCCAGGGCAAGAGCTCCGCAAACCTCATAAATTCCAAGAAGAGAAGAATGAGTTCCAGGTAGATGAGTCGGACGAAGAAGGGATCCTTATATCCTTATCATTTTCTTCTTTTGCTATTTAACTCGAGCCGCATCCGTCATCTCTTGGAGATTTGTTCACTTAAATTGTGTCTGAATAAAGCATATAGGTTGGTAAAAGAAGAATTAACATTTACCGCACAACTACCCACCGATTATGGCATTTCTCCGATTTACGCGTAACGTCTGTCCTTATGGTTGCGATATATCCCCGACTGATGCCCCGGTTGTCCTTCGTGATCCTTGCGACTGGTTAAACTGTCTTTTTCGCCTTCTTTTGACTAGTTTCTAAACTCGCCGTATTATATTTCACCATCGATTTTAAAGGACAGCACAACTTCCTTCACATTCATCGCAGACTAGAGTGTATTAAGTGTTTAACTAAAATTTTTATTTGAAGAATATTATTTAACTGAAAGTACAAACCTTAGTGGTCTCAATTAAGAGGAATGTATTGTTAGTTAGCTAGCTCTTGATAATTTTTAAAAAGTGTAAAGAATTTTTTTTGGGTTATTTTTGTTTGAGCGAAGTGTTCGTCTCGAGCGACAAATTCGTAAAGACCAGAAATTGGGGAATGAAAATTTTCTTTGACACGAACTGGACAGCAAATATGCCTAATATGCCTAGTCATCTAATCTGACATCAAAGTCAATGCAATTCCCTATCGATTAATGAACAGAGCCTAGGGTTGTCACCCAAACTTACAAGCAATCAGTGTTGTTTAAGACTCTGGGCAGTTTAACGGGAAAAAAGGATTTTAAAGATATTCATAAATCAAATATGCAAGATGGCTAACAATGAAAACGGGCTTCTTTTCATTAAGAGTTTATTTCACCACAACAAGAACATCAACAACAACCACGAAAAAAAAGCGAATATATTTATATGGTTTTATATATCTAAGCGGATCCCACGTTGCTGGCGAATCAATAGTGATTGCGTCGTTTGTTCGAAGGACAGTACTCGGCGTACTCCTCCCAAGTGCAGCCCGCCTTTGTGCAGCACTCATTCGAGATCGATGGGGCATGACCATCCGCTCGGCGACTTCTCAGGAACATATTGGCATAGTTCACGTGCAGCCAGGTGGAGCCATCAGCTGTAAAAAATTATCATAGTTTTTCTGTTAAATTAAATTCTTCCAGTACTTTTTTTTGTTTTTTTTTTTTCCACATTATACACATAGAAATAGATGTAGGCTTACGGTCCGTGGAGCTCTTTTTGATCCAGGCCTCGTCGTTGCCCGTCCTCTTTTTGTTGCGCCGCGTCAGTCGGTAAATGTCCTTCTCGCAGGCCCAGTAAAGCTGACGGACGAGCTTGTCCCGGCAGCGGGAGTGCGCCTCCTGGTGCCACACGTTCTCCCAGTCCGATTGGGAACTGAAAAATTTATATACTTTCTTTTATCACTTTGGAACTCTTTAAAAACTATTTAAGGGCAACTCTTAAAAAAAGGGTTCTTAGTACCATTACCAAGTTTATTTAAAATGAAAATTCGCCAAAAAAAAACTGGAAATGCTCATTTATTATTCATTTTTGTGTTGAATATGATTATTCGGCCATAATACATCGAACCTCAAGATTTCATATCAGTAACGGAACTTCCCTCACGAAACTCGGCTGCTGTCAAACCGATTTTAGCCTTAGCGGTGTCAAATGAAAGGCAGCTCAATTTTAAAAACTATTTAAGTCTAACTATTTAAGGGCAACTCTTAAAAAATGGTTCTTGGTAAAATTACTAAGTGTATTTAAAATGGAAATTCGCAAAAAGAAACTAGAAACGTTCGTTTTGTTATTAATTTTTGTGTTAAATATTACTATTCGGCCATAATACATCGAACCTTTAGATTTCATATACCAACCGATTTTAGCCGGAGCGGTGTCAAATGAATGGCAGCTCAACTCACCGCTCGCGGAACAGCATCTCGAGACCCTCCTCCGTGTGCTGCAGTGCCTCCGGCGTGGGGATCAGCGGCAGGACGAACAGGAGGACGGCGCCGCAAAGCGTCCAGCTGCCCGTGTTGGGTAGTATCATCTTGCACATTTTTCGGATCCTCCCGGCCGGGACTATGGACTTTGGACTTTCGATCCTGGTGTGGCTCACACGGAGGACGCGTGGCGACTGAACGCTCTGGCCGGTTTGTTGTCCGGTTTTGAAATATATCCCGGACCGGAATCCACCGACGGCGGTGGCAATGGCGGTGGCGGCCAACTGTCGGGCGTCGGCGGCATAATTAAATCGGTTGGTCAGCGCTCTATTTGAAGTAATGAGGCCCGCATCCCGGGTCTCGACCTTTCACGCACACTTTCATTCGGCCAATCCAATCTAATGAAGAGCAACGGCAGCAATTGCGTATGCGGCCCGTTGTCCCGCTTATTGCCTTGTTTATCTGCCGGTCCATCGGACACCGCAAATTGGACCCACTTCTCTATCGCCTCTTTTTCCACCTGAGATTTTCCGTTCGGCCCACCTGCAAAGCCTGAAAACCTGTTGCTTGGTTAACAAAACATCATAAAATCCGGCAAGTTACACTGTTTGCCTCGTAAAACGAGCCGAACGCCGGGCACTTGTTTTTATTTCGAAGTTGGCATAAATTTTCCAATATTTGCACGAATTTCAATACGGCCCAGGTTGGCGAAACAGTGGGCTCAAATACCTATTGAAAGTACCAAAAAAATTACACTATAGAAAACAGTTTTTTTTGTTTTAACATTTTTTAGGTTGATAAGATTTATTTTATTTTTATATGAGGCATTCTCCGAAAAACCGACCAGGGTGTTGCCGCCCTATAATTAGGCAAAGTTGTTGGGCAAACATTTTTTGGGAATCTACAACTTTTAAATGAGTCAATCGTTTAAAAAAACCCAAATAAGAACAACAATTTTAACATTTTAAAATAACTATTTTAGAGAATGCCTCATATAAGTTAGATAAAATTTTTTTTTAGTTTCCAACCAATCTTAAATATTTTTATAAAAATCTTCAGAAACAAATTTTCACAAATTAAGTAAAGGAATAAATATAAATATTTTGTAAGACTTTTTTTTACCCAATGTGCGCACACACAAAACCGCCCACACAAAACCGCCCACACGAGACAATAGGTTAGCTAAATAATGTCACTGTTTACACATTCTGTGCGAATTTATGATGCACCTTTTCCGACCACAATCCTCCTCCAGATCCAAGTCAGAGTCCCTTTCCCTTGCCTATTTTTTCGAGCTCAGTTCTTGGATGACTTTGCCGGTGGTTGGTTGTTTTTAGAGGCCTTTTTTCTGTCATTTTTTGTAAGTGCTTTCCAAAAATAGATTTAAAATATAAAAAATACCCAAAGGTGCTAAATATTTTTTTAATGTGCTTATGTATTTTAAAAAATTCTACCTGTCAGTTTGACACCCAAATATTTACTTTGGATAAACAAACAATTAGTTCCCTGCAGGAAAAATGCGAACTAGTCTGAAAAACAACTAGTTATACAACTAATATAAAGCAACCGGAATTTGTCTGAATGCATTTGGACTACACAGGGTCTAGAAAATTTGAGCTAGTCGAAAAAATGATTAATACAAAACTAGTAAAAAAGAAACTTGTCTCGGACTGGTACCTTTCTGACAAAAAAAACCTTAAAAATATTTAACTGGTAGAACAAATACATGTTAGGGTCTAGTTAAAAAGGCAACTGGAATTTAACTAGTTGCAAATGAAACACATATGATCCAAAAATATAGCCTAGAGGGTAAATGTCTTGGGAAATTTAGCACTAAACAAATCAAACACTCGAGGTCCCCGGTTCAATCCCCAGTCTCTGTACATTTTTTTTTGTTTTTTGTTTGCTAGGTGATGCTTTAGTTTTATTTTAAACTTTGTTTAATCTGTCCGAGGCAATATATATGTGAAAAATCACTGTTTTTGAATTATGTCACACTAAAATTCATAAACCTTGTTAGGGCATTACAAAATGTGATGCGTGTATGGGTCAATCAGTTAGTGTGTCTACAAATCCAAAGGTCCCGGGTTCAAGTCCTAGAGAAGGCGACTTGCCTCAAAAAAAGTAAGTTTGTTTTAATTCAATTTAATTATCATTTACTGTATTTGATTACATAATAATTATCAGAAATTCTCTAAGGACCGCGACTATTGATTGGATACTAAATTAGGAGAGCATCAAGTTTGGCATCGTCAAGTACTAGTGAAATTCAATCACTTGTTGGTTTCGAGATTTATTTTTAGTTTTTTCGTGAAAATATTTTTTTCAGTGTAGTTTAACAGCTGTAACTATAAATTGGTTAACAGTCACTAGTGCAAAACTAGTAGCAAATTGACTAGTTGTTTCCGACGACAAGCATATGAAAAATGGACCACTTCGTTACAAGGAAATGGACATAACTTGAACTAGTTAACCTTCTTGACCCAACTAGTATTTTAATAGTCCAAAACTGATTCCGTTTCCTGCAGGGTTGAAATCAATGAGCAAACAAATAATGTGTCAAATTAATGCTGTAATTGTGTTTATCCTAGCATGTCACTTAAAACTATTGTAAATAGGCTTCGCTTTAATAAACTCAAATACAAATACATTATTTAATGTTGCATAAAAGGATTAAAACGATTTATTTGCATCACGTAACGTTTGGATTTTATTTACCAAAAAAAAAAAACAAAATGAAAGCCACTGACGTGCCAATAAAAAATCGAATTAATATTGTGTACACAGAGTCATCAATTTTATTTAACACAATGAACAAATTTTATTGTACATATACATTCATATACAAATACAATAAGTTCTGCTTTTCATCTTACGCTATAAAACTATTTGCTGCATAACCGAAAATCCAAAAAACGTATGATTACATATCATTATGCATTTTTTCCTCGCTAGTTTTTTTGGTTTCAACTTTTGTGAGGCTAGACAGCTAGCGACTAGCGAATACCCTACTGGGCACAAAAAAAACCTTTTTCAATTTTTAGCTTAAACTCTAGAATATTCAAATTTCTCTCTTTTCAATTTTGCCCATATTTTTTGGTTGTTTCCTTTTCTAAATTCAAATATTGTTCAATTCCACAACTGTGCTAGGAATGCAGTAGAATATACATTTACAAATACAAATATAAATACATAAATACTCATTTATGCTGCTATATATATTTATATTTTTTTGATATATAGATACAATAGTTTGCTTATGTTAAATACAGTAGCATACCAAAGGGGGAGTAGGTCTCCTTAGTCCAGAGATTAATCGAGAAGTCCAAATGCATACATGGGTTCTTGTATTATAAGTTGTATTATTCTTCATAATTAAAGTTTTATTTTATGTGCAAGGAAAGGAATTAATTAAGTATGCATTTAGTATGATTACGAACACCTACTCCCATTTTAGTATATTTCTAGTGTCATTATTTAATTTAATAGTTTTTTCTTTGTGTTACATTTAAATTCGACAAGGCAAACGAAAGAGTCAACAAAACAATAAAATTTGTTTAACTTACTCCCTTATGTAATAGTCAAATGTGTATAAATATCGTTATGTTTATTTAATTATAATTTACATGATTAACTTATGTCGTAACTAAAACATTTTGCAATCGGCTAATTTATGAATTAATTAACTCTAATAGAGGTGGAGGGGATTTTTGGGTGTCCTATGGCTAATGTTTCTTTAATGCAAAGGGTCTGTAATTTATGCAGATGAAAACATGAAATATATGTTTTTTTATTGTTGAATTAAATCTAGATTGATTTAATTTGCATAAAGAAAAAGGCTGAAGGAATTATGTGGGCTTATTTATATTCAATTGAGCTCTGCTAGTTTCAAAAAATAGAACTACTTTTATTCAGCCCCTAAATCGAATTAATCTAAAATTCCAGCTGTGTTAATATAAAGTTCATCTTAGGTGTAAGACAAATATCAGTTATCTGTGTTCTACGCGGCCAACAATATATATATTTCAATTGGCAACGAAAAAGAAAATTAGCTATCGAAAATCGTTCATGTAAATTCTATTTTCGCTGCCGGTAAATCTTTTTTTGTTCAATCTGGTCATGTAATTTTATAATAGCTTTTTTCTCAATTATAAATTTTCGCTATTAAACGCTTAATGGCTAAATGACACTCATGCAAATTACACAGAAATCTACACATTGTTACGGTAATTCCGCTGTCCATTAATCCTACTCATTAATTTTTCATTTCATCTCTCATCAATTTCTGTCACAAGGAATTTACAGCATATCTGTTTCAGTTTATTTTTTTGGGTTTGCCTTTTCCAATATTTCAGATGCAAAATTTCATTTCGAACAATTGAATTGTAAGCTTTATTTTTTATAAAATTAAATTGTATGTTATGTTCTTATGTCTACTCATTTTTCGCTTAACTTTCTAGGTCTCAAATTAAATGTAAACGGCGTCCAAGGAATAGCAAAATCAAAAATAAATCAATTCAACAGAGTATGAATTTAAAAGTAAACTACTTGTTGATTTAAATAGTGAAGCCTTTTAGCTTTTTAATCTTTCAAAAAAATCACATTTCATAACTCGGAAAATTATATTCTCCTAATAGACATACATATATTGGTTAGTATATGTTTGTAGTTAACTTATATGCGCCGCGTTTACATTTTTTGTTTAACATTAGTGTTTTGTATTCTTTGTTAGCTTTAAATTCACATTTTCTGTTTTGAGTTTGAAAGTCGCTCCAAAAAGTGATGTGACGATCTCAATGCATTCATTCCTAATGCGGTTATTCCACTACATTGTTCGGGTCATTCATTAGTGCAATTTTTTCTCAGCATATACAATTTTACGTAGGTGCGAGCAAGACAGATATATGTCGGCTGCAATAAGCAATCAATGAGCAAATTGTAAAAACCGATGGGCACTTTTGGTATTTTTTTTTTAGTATTGTAAAATGCCTCAATACGGTACTACCTGAACCGATGAGCAATGAGCAAAATTGAATCTAAAAAGTACAATTTTGCTCATTTATTAGAAATGAAGTGAAATGGGATCAATAATAAAAATTGATTTGATTTTTTTTGGTTGAATTGCCAAACCTTTTGCGTCTAATAAGGTGCTATAAACAAATATGAACAATACAAAAATTATTTTAGTGGCCTAATTACTCCGTTGCCAACTAAAAATAACTCGCATATTTCTATACAAAGACATAACTGCGTCTATAAATTTATATAAAATTGCCTTCCTAAAAATTAATGCCGGGTATGATAAAATTAAAAACAATTACAGATGTACTTTAAACAGCCCAAAACAATTTAAAAACTTGGTAAAAGTGTCTGATTTTTTGGCAACACACACTATTAATTTTACAGCCTTCAACCTTAATGATTTAACCAGTCAAAGTTATTTGAATTATAAAGTTTAAATTTAACGTCTAAATTTTAAGTGACCATGCCATCTTATCCAAACAAATCCCAAAAATAGCATATATATTTGTCCCTTTCTAAGCCACCAATGAATGCTCTAATGAATGAGCCAAACAATGTAGTGGAATAACCGCATAAGAGCTGTAAAGAGAAAATGTGTTTTTTTTTGCAATTAATTAAATGGTTTTTATGATAAACTAAATTACAAATGGATTATTTTAGATAAATGCTTTAGAATTTTAAAAAACCATTAATATTTGTATTAAATAAAATGCAAATTAAAATTCGAATAGATGGGTGCTTTTCTATAAAAACTAAGTATGTGTTCTTTGGTATTTTACAGCAGGCTGGAATATTGACATATAATTAATATTTTAATTGTAAAAATAATTAAAAACAAAAAAAATCTTAATATTATGTGACTGTAGGACATAAACCCACCCGCTTAGAGCATTTCAATATTGGACGTTCCGTTGCCAGTTGCAGTTCTCGTGGTCTTGGTCACCTGTTGATTGGTCATCAGAGGCGGCGGGCTGCCACACCAAACCACCTGCAATATATCGTTTAATAAGCAACCATAATAGAATATATCCAGGATCAATGTGCCAACCTTGCGGAATGCCTTGCGAAAGTTGTCGGACAGGAAGGCATATAGTATGGGATTGATGCAGGAATTTGTGTAGGCCACCACATGTGATATTATCTGGATGATGACCGACAAGTGGCTGCCGCCATAAAGATTCAGGGCCTTCAGGACAAGGATTACCTGGAATAAAAGGTATAATGGAAAAATTAATGTCAGGATCACAATGTATATTAAAATCTACTATTTTTCTTCGTACTCGGGAAAACAGTTTATTTTAGAAAAAGATTTTACAAAAATAATTTGTTGGTTTTTTAATTGTAAAATTAATATATTTCAAAATCTCTTGTTCACGGACTAGCTTTTAAAATGTTGATTATGTGACAAAAAATCGATTTTTAGGAATTCCTAACTTTATAACTTTATAAATAAAACATTATTCTGTATAGCCCCTAACTAGTATCTAAAACAATTAAATTAAAGACTTATAAGAGTTGCAATTTAAGACTTTAATAGGAATTCTCTTTGCCCATATGCTGGCATAGATAAATGCAATTCGCACATCTTGCACATCGAGAGTGTCTGTGTAATTGTAATTTCGTTTGTAATTTGTGAGCACATTGATTTTGTGCAAATACTTTGAGTGCTGGCAGCTCAAGGAGGAGCAGCTGTTGGCTTATTAAACATCGGCAAATAAATGGGGTGACTTGATCCAAAAAAAGGGGGCCGGAATATCGGAAATGTCAATTTATCGCAACTATCCATTGTGTTTGCCAACGAAAGAAATTCGCCAGCAGCTGTTGCCACTGCATATTTAAGCTACTCAAAATGGTAAGTTCAACTTTAAGTAAATCGATTATGTGTGGAATATGGCTTCTAGGCAATTTTTAACTTTTAATCACCCCAAAAAAATGTTTGATAACTTTAATGAAATAAGCATAAATGCAAGTCAACCTTGACCTTTTTTATCCATTACCAATGACCGACTCTCAATGTTAGGTGTCAGTCCATATTAATTATGGCCAAAAATATACGTATGAAATGAGATTTCCCGGTCACCTGTCAATCAGATGTCCTGTAATTGGTTCTACCAAAAATTGCGAAATTGGCATTAATGAGCTGGTTGGCGAATTTCCGTTGCACTTTTCGCCACTCTTGTTTTTATACCCGTTACTGGTAGAAAAAAAGGGTATATTGTATAAAAGAATATATTCTTAATCTTATTAATACCTATCAAAATGTAAGAGAAAATTTTAAAATCGGAGCATTCATTAAAAAGTAATGGGCAAATAAGGAATTTTCTATAGGTGGTATTTGATAGTCGAAGTACTATTTTTTTTGTTTATATTATTTTGTGGTAAATAGGTTTTACTTACATGAATGGGGAGCCAGCAGATGGCAAATGCCAATACGACAACAACAACCATTCGGGTGACGCGTCGTTTTCCCTTCCTGAAAAAGCAACAACAACAATACGAAATCAGAGTTAGTGTGGGATATATAGTGTATTTGCTATATGCCATATGAATATATAGAGATAGATCCGGGGGTGCATATAAATTATGCCGCAGTTCAGTTTTGTGAATTTTGCATTGCCTGCTGCTCGGTGATTTATGAACTTTGCGTGCGTATTGCGAACTCGTCGCAAGTTCATTTCCATTCAAATTTAAAACGCAGCCTAATATATATATATACATATGTATATTAAGATTGCCGATACTGCATGAAATATGTGTGTAACAGCCACCGCCGCATTCGATTACATAAGAATTAAGGCATTATATTAAACTACAGTTCTTGAAAAATATTCCCCAGTTTTATTTTATTTTCCTCAACATCTTATTGATGCCATCTGAAAAGTTTTCTTCAACTCAATGTGAGTACAATTTAATAGTATTCGATTTATGATAAAACCAAACTTTGCCAAAGTATTTTTCAAAGTTTAAAGTTGCTGCAACTTTAACTGAAATTGATGGTTGGTGACCCCGATCACGTCTGAGTTACTTGGGGCAACTTTACTTTTTCCCCTTAGACTTAAAGCGTAATTTAAGTAACTTGCTGGGATGCTTTTGCAATTTTATGTTTTAAATAAACACTATTTATTTGGCTTGAAAATTATAAAAATTAAATGTTTTATGTTTATTATGTTTAAATTATATATTTTATATTATTATGTTACGCCTCGACTAAAAATCCAAAAATGAAATAGAAAACTCTAGTTAAATTTCGCAAATAATACGACCAAGTTAAACAACAAATATTGTCCTTGTCACTCCCATTTTCCCTGAATCCTGCGACTGTCCTGCGGGAATATCGCTCACATTTGTACTTATGTTTCGGTTTCGTTGACCTGGCCACTTAAAAATGCATGAGCCAAAGCTCATGAGCTTTCCTCGCAGCCTAATAAAAAGGCATTCATCATGGCAGCAGGTGCGTAGCGCATAAAATAAATACGAAAAAACCCGTCCAGGAAAATTCCCTCACCCACGGCGTATACGCGATATTTTTTTGTGTTGGGGTTTGAGGGGATTTTTGCTTTCAAGACCACTATGTAGGATATACTCACCGTGACTCGGCGGAAGGCTTGCAGCCGGGAGCACTTTTCCACAGACGAGCCAGCATTCCCATGTAGAGGAAGCAAATCAGCGTTAAAGGTGCCACATAGGATGATAAAAAGAATGAGACCTGAAAAAGAGATACAAAATAGAGGGCATAAATAAACATGTGCCAATGCGGTTTAAAGAGCTACAAGATTTTATTTTGTTGAATTTTCAGATTTTTGACATTGAATTTATAATTTCTAAAAAGTCTATTTGTATTTTAAATCTTCAATTAAAAAACTCACCTAAAACTATTAATATTTTCGATATTTTCACAATATCGATGTTTTTAAGGAAAATATAATGAGAATTAGCAAGTTGTCGATATTTTTTTAAGCTCTACTTAGAATTTAGAATTTCTCAATTAAAAGGGTGGCCTATAATCATTTCCCAAAACTTTATTTTAATTCTTTAATTAAAATTTATATTTATTTATAGCTGAAAACTATACTTAAAAAGCCATGACTATCTTAACAATAAGTTTCATTAAAATATTTCAACTACTTCAAGGTTTGCAGAATGGTGACCCCAAACTGGACTTCTGGATTCCATAATGCGGCATACCTCTAAAAAGATTGTGGTCTAATTTTCCCACTAATTCCCTAGTAAATAAAAGAGCACAAACTTGACTATTTATTTCTGAGGAATTTTAGCTCTGTTAATCTTCTTATATTTATTTATTTTATGCTGCTCATTTTTTAGCGTCTGCTTTTCTGGTCGAAGGTTTTTCCGCTTGCCATCTGCTGCCATGTCAGCAGCTTTTGTTTTTGCATGGAAATTGTCAGAGGCGCTGAACCGTAATGCTGACCAGATACCAGATATGAGTACCAGACACTTGCCAGCCCCCGAAAAATACCAGAAAGGACCCCCTGCCCCGAATCCCGCTCACCAGCTGCCGCTTAGCCGTATTCCCAACAGGCAAAAAGATATATATAGGTATGCATATATGTCCATAAAATACGCGTCTGTATAAGATAGCGGCATTGGAAAAACTGGCGGAAAATACTCGTAGTTATGCTGGTTTCCGCTTGAATATTCGTGTATTTTTCGGTGAAAATGCCAGGGGAAAGAAACGACCCATAAATCGAAAATATTAATCGTGGGGCAGCTATTTTTTAAGGGGTTAATAAGTTTAATACCCTAAAACCATATGAATAATATTTAAATAAACGATTTTCTTAGCAATCGGATTATTTAAATTTTCACCAAAGGTCAAATTAATTGTTAACACCCCTTTTCAAAGCACTTTTGCAACCGGTTCGATGGAAATCAACTTAATAACTCGCAGTAATTTCTGCCCTTTGCAAACTTTATGAATTGTTCAGCTAGTTGGGGCGGCCTTTTACCAACTTTCAAGAGATGCCAGCAATTGATATTTAAAGTATTCGCAGCCCTGAATTATTCGGTTTTTCTGGGGCCGTGCCTCCATTTTGGGATATCCAATGAGCCTGCTGCTGCTGGCTTAAAACTCATTTGGCGGCGCCTCAACTTTCGAGTGGATCCCAGTTTTTCCTTGTGGGTGGCAGGTGCCGGCAGTCATGTGTAAATGATTAAGGGGTATTTCCCCACCTTTGGAAAATTTGGAAAAGCGGAAGGCAGGCAATGAGAACCAGCCAAATATGCACAAAGGTGCAAGTCAAAATATATGTACATATATCAATTGTGGGCCTCGAAACGAGAGCAATGAAACGGAAAAAGAAAGGAAGCGCGTAGTGTACACAGAGAGAAAAATATGATCGGAAAAATCGTGTGGTTTTATAATATTTAAGCATGTAGCGGATAAAATTGGAGAACACTTGTTTTATTTTTAGAAATTAATATTATCAGAAGAGGCTTCCGATATTGATAATAAAAAAAATACAAAAATATTTAAATTCAAATAAAAGAAATTCAAAGCCATTAGATGAAATTTATTGAAAAATTAAGCTATTCTTTATTCTTTCAAGATATAAATAAAAACAAATAAAGTAAATAAAAAATAGTAAGAATTATTTAAGGTTTCTTAGTAGTTTTTTTGGCTTTGCAGTCAGAGATTTTAAATATATTTTGTTACCAGTGCATCGATGAAATCGCGCATACCGCAATTGTTAATAATAATCGTTGCCACGCCTCCGCCATTCATATTCAGGGGGCGGTTGGCGGGAATCGAATGCCTGACAGCTATGGAATCGGAATCACTTTGTTGGGATTTACCCATGGCCATGGCCAATGAACATGTCGTTTGTTATCGACAACGGCAACACAAGCAAGGACATCGCGGCGAGGACGAGTGACATAATCCGCACTGACGCTTCTCGGGGATCCGTAACCCCCAATCCGACTTCAAATACGAAAAACTCTGGCTCTCTCATATCAATATCCGGATATCTTCTCCTGCACTTACCAGATTTTACACCCATTTCTAAAGGTATATTGCATTTTTGGACTTCTTAATGACAAAATGTAGCAAAATTTTAAAAATAACTAAAAAACGGTTTAAAGATATTTGTTGTAGAATTTAAAATTATTCTGTAAAAATAAAGAAAGTGTTTTATCATCCCTTATATTAAGAAATACTAACTAAATAAAATCTATTAAAAACAACAATTAAATTATACTAATTTGTATATAAAAAGTTAAACCAAATGGTCACATTTTAAAATTCAATAATAAAAAATATATTTGCTTTGTTTTTTTCATTTTCTTCTTTTAATATTATTCTTTAAAGTGAATGTTCTGAGTAAGAAGTATCAGTAAATCGCATCCCATTTCCCCCACTTATTCTGCTGAGATGAGGGCGGATTACTGATGCATTAATTAAAGTGTTGATTGCAAAGGAAATTGTTTGTAATGCGCGACAATGATGTTAACGATATCTCAGTTGAATACTGAAATTTATGACACATTCGCAAGACAATGGAATTTATTCCAGAATATTATTTGCCCTCTTTGGTTGTCGGCTTTTATCCTCATTGTTTGATTGGTAAATGTCACAAGCTGATTGTTACGGTTACTCAAGCGCACTGCCATAAGCTAATTGGCTTTGCCGAACAATGGGCTGATTTTCTTTGAACTTTTGCGATTAATGGAAAGCCTGTAATTTGATTTTTAATTACTATGGAAACTATAAAATATTGTTAAAAGTTTTATTTCAAAAATTTCAACAGCTTTAAACTAAAAAGTAAGCTATTCTGACTGGCACAATTTTTGCAATTTACTCTACCTCCCCCTTAAAATTAACTAGTTATCAGCAAAACTTTCGCCAAAAGTGAGCTCAGCTGCTTTTAGCCAAATTGTCTTTTTCTTTTTAAACTTAAAACGAAAACGAAACAACGAAACTGAAAGTCATTTTCGCGCCAAATGATTAGCAAACATTTTTTGAAATGGCTTTTTTGCTGTGCCCAATTGCATTTGGAAATGGATGATCCAGTCATTTTGCTTTGCCAATGGTCCGAAACAAGTGCGTATTATATATCTAGATCCGGGATATGGAGTTCAGCAACTATAAACTTTGCCATGGGGGTTATAAAACTTCCACTTAGGAAATAGAAAGATGCAAAATATGCTGGAAACAAAGATACATGGATGCTCGGAATCGATAGATATACACCATGAAATTTTACAGCACAATCGCCATAAATAAAAGTTGCCAAACTTGAGCACTGAACTTTTTTCGTATTTTTTTTGTTTTCCTTTGCCCGGCCTTTAAACTTTATGCTGGTCCTAATAAAAAGCCATAAACTGAAGTGTGTGCCATATGATAAATGGTTGGGGGGCGTATACTTAATATTCGGCATGACCCAAAAATTGCGCCTGGGATTTGTCCATAAACGCAACTTGACACTCAGCGAAATTAATCAACTTGCCACAGGCTCTGATGAGTGTTTTTTTTTCGTCATAAATTTCCCTCGAAATATATATATTTACCCCCAGGAAATTCGGCAGAAAAGATGATTGAAATTATAAATTGGCTGAGAAATTGGGGACATCAAATGCTGGCACTTTTAATAATAGCTTTAACAAAGTGAATATTTTTGTTTAATTTATTTATTTCGTGTTTTGTGGCAGGCTAAACTAATTCTTACAACAAAAACTTGGTTGAGCACATTAAAACAGTGTTAACAATAAAAAAATTTTTGGAGTCTTCAATATTTTTTTTATAAATTTATTTTATTTATTGAATACTTTGATTTTAACTTTTGGGACTCTTAATTGTAATTAAAGCCCTTGCAAGATTTCGAAATTAAATAACCCAGAATTTTCAGTAATTCGAAGAACAGAAGTCAACTTTAATAAACTTTGAGATCAACTAAAGCGCCGCCATCCCGTTTTTTTTGGGGCGACTAAACACTATTTTTCCGCCCACTTTTCCCATTTCAACCGCCTCTTTCCAGACTATTTGTTTCAGTTTTATGAGTTCTTTACGATGACAACAATTCGGTCGTTAGTTTCGCTGTTCGTTTTGCTTTGACGGATGCGTCGCACAAGTTTGATCCATTTTTATTTTATTGCCAGACAAGGCTCAAACTAAAACACCGATATCTATACATATATTGACCCTGACAATGACTATTTCCAGGGGCGGAAAATCAAATTCGAACTAAAAACGGAATTCCCCCATTCAAACGCCATTCGTTGTGGCAGTTTTGATGCTCTTTCGAATAAAAGTAGATTAATATAGTTAATATTTTCAAACGTTCAATACCATAATTTAAATATGAAAAATAATATTAATATATTTAAGCAATAGCTTATAATAATACTATACATGTTTCAATAAGATTTGGGTGACTTATTTATAGGCAAACAAATTTTAACTTCAATATTTATTTTTTAAAAATAAGAAAAAGGAATATACTCTGGTTTAATCCAATTGCACAGTGCTAGAACTTCCCATAATGCCTTTGAAATCTATGATAATCCCGATTTAATTGCCAAAGTTTCGATTGTCTACGTGGAGCTTCCTTAAAGAGCATCTACACTTTGTACTTAGTCACCCAAAGTTGCGGTTTCCTTTTCGTGTTTTCCAAAGCAATTGCGATTTATGTGCACAGTGGAGGGGGAGGAAGATTTGGATGCGGGCAGAGGGGGCGTGGACACAAGGACGGAGGACACGCCGTATCCGTGGTGCTGTCCCCGTATCCTTATCCGTGTCAGTGTCGGAAAACCCGGAGCGAAGCGAACTGTGCAATTTGCCGTGTCAGTTGGCTTTCGAGTGGAGTGGTGAGGTAAGCCGGCAAACTCACGGGTGCATATTAGCTGAAGATACCGAATAGCTCAGGGAGTCAGTCAGTCAGTCAGTAAGTCACCTGGGCACACTGAGCAAATATGTCCACACTTACAAAATCCTTCATTTTCTTAGTTTATTACTTATTAAAAAAAGGTGTACATTCATCTGTTTATATTTAAATTATTATTATTACTTACGAAATTCCTCATTTTCGTAATGTATCAATTCAATTTGTTTTTATTCAAAAAAGTATTTATTTTTCTGTTCGAATTTTGATTATTATTGTGAGCGTATAATTCTTATCTGGGTATAAGAGAAAATTATAAAGGAGCATACATTTTAAACATTGTAGGGATACTTTTTTAAATCAAAGAATGAAGAAAGTATATTATTACAACTATATTAAAGTTATTAGTTAGTTTTTAAAAATTAGTTGGAAATTTGACATTATTTTAAGAAAAGAATTTAAACTAAAAGTTGACAAAAGGTTCGCTTATTAACCTTATTAGAAGATTAATTCTTTGACTTGCAAAGACTTGGAAAAAAGTATTACAATATAAAATAAACAATTAGGTGCCCATAAGAAATGGTAAAATATTATTGTTGCCCTTTTTTCTCCCAGTGTCGTTAGTCAGCGCCTCATTGATTCGTTCTGTGAATGGAAATAGACGACAAAGCTCGTTCATTCCACTCCCCTTCACTCGACGCCCTGAGGGCCAAAACAACTGTGGCTTTTCCGGTGTAACATCCTTCCGGCATGAAATTACACTCGAAGACCTTCAGCGCAGCCGAATTGATTAATAGACAGAAGTTCAAGTAATAAACATAACAAACTCGGGGGCGCAAAAAAATGTGAGCAACTCGGGCGGACGGAAAAACCATTTGTGATAACGCTGATCTATGTGGGGGAATCTAGGCCATAATGATGATGGAATTGTGCCATTCCAACTCCTCCGACGAAAACTGGCCAATAATTGCAAAATACGGCACTGGACGCACTTTGCAGTTTGGCACTTTTCCGAAAAGGATTCGTCTTTTGGATTTGTCCGTAGCGAAAAACAAAAGTGCACTTTGTGCATGCACAGTGGTTTCATCAAGTCAAAAGCATTCTATTCGCCTTTGATTAAGAGGTAAAAAAGGTGCTAATAAATGCGACCAAAACCGCGGGTTGTCGTGAAGTGAAAAGGAGTGTAAAGGAAAAAAATTAATTTTTATTGCGAATCTCGGTCTAGTCCTTTTTTAGAGGAAAATTCCCCACAGCTGCGGGTCGTTTCTGCGGGAGAAATAATTAAATTCGAGCTTCCCCTTTGCACAAGAGCGATATTCATATGAATGGCTTCTGACACTCCAAAGGGGATTCGTTTGCTTTATTCTAGAAAAATTGTTTATTAAAACTCTGGGAATTTTCTTTGTTCATATTTCATTTAATTCTTTTAAAGCTTTTTTTTGTAAATGAGTTTAAAAAAGAGTTAAATCTGACCAAAAGTAAAATATATATATACATATTTAAAAATAGTTTTTAATGTAGAACCACAGTCTTGCAACTGATATATACCTCTAGATATATATATATATATTTATTCCCTGGTTCTTGGGTTGCGTTGATACGTTACAAGTTGTCAAGCTGTCCTCGCATTTCGGAATAAAAGGACTAAAAGTGAGGCAGTGGGGGCAAAGTGAAGGCGAGTGCTTGTGCTAAGTAGCAAATATATTGCAGTCTTGCCGGCCAAGCACTGGAAAATATGACTTGATTTCAACAATAAGCGATTTCTCGCCATTTCACTCAAGCTTTTTGCACAACAAAGTAGATGGAATGTGCACAGAAAAAAATTCATTACTTGATTTAGCATTATTTAAAGTTTATCATATAAAGGTATACGTTTTAAAACCGTTTAAAACTCTTTTTTAAAGAATTTTTTTTTATTAAATCTATTTTAAATGTCAAAGTAGGTGTGAAAAGTATGCAACTATATATTTTTAGCCCAAAAGGGTAGAGCTTAAAAAATATCGACAGTTTGCTATTTCTCAATATTTAATTTGTGTTTTAGCTTCAAAATATCGAAAATTTTCAAGCTTTAGTGGCACCCCCAATAGATGTGGCAGATATTGGGGATGAACCCATATTAAGTCGGAATTCAAAAATCCAAATAATAATATTTAGATTGCATTAAACAATTTACAATAAATATAGTAGGTAATTCATTACTTTCAATATTAATAAATTTTCCAGTCAAGTTAAATAAGATTGATTTTTGTCCGTGTAGGGAAAGAAACTAACCTGAAAACCGACGAGACTCCAGACCTCCTCCTCCGTGGAAAAGACGCAAGCGGTGCCAGCATTTCCGTGGTACTGATAAATTCGCACCGAGTGCGAAAGTGCCACCGGAATCGCAGTCGTCACAATCGTTATCCAGGCGCACATGATGGCCCTAAGGAAATGGAAGGAAGAAAGATGTGAAAAAAGTGACAGATATAAACGGGTTTCAATATATTTCGGACCATCAAATGGCGCTGAATTATCTGAATGGTTGTCTTGAAATATACGAAAATTATGCGACTTTCCTTTCATTACTTTTTACTTTTAGCCCTTCAGAAATTTGTTGTTAAGATTTAAAAAAAAATACTTTGTTTTCTTCACTCTTCTTTACCTACCTTACGTTTTTTTTTTGGACACGTTGTAAGTTTTTTAATCAAGGAACATGCCAACAAAGTTAAAACTTGGGTTAGGGGGAAGAAAAAACTCTTCGAGATTCCCGGACGTTTTTTGTGGCTTTTAATTTCTTGCAAATCTTTCTCAGTTGGCCAAGAAATTTGTCGACGATTTTCTTTCGACCGAAGTTTTTCGCTACTTTAAAGGCTGACCCCTCTTAAAGATTCAGTTATGCAACTCGGATGCACTATCTTTGGACATATTTATGCGACACAGACCCGGTGGCAGAAGGCGAAAGCAAAAGGTCAGGGGCCACGGAACAAGGCCTGCAGGTAGGCAAAGCTAGCTAATTACAAAGGCCGGACAAATTGATGCAATTACTCCAGATGTTGTGGGATATGGGGAGCAGCTGCGGTACACTATAAAAAAAACGCATTTCCGCTATGGAAAAATTTTGTTTGCCTTTTTAAAGTTTTTTATCTCTGTGTAGCTTACTCAATACTTTATTTTAAAACATTTGTTCATACTTTTTTGATTGTGAACCCTACTTTGAATCGAATATGTGCCTGGTCACACTTATATTGTTATATGGTCACACCTGGAAAGATCACAGCAGTAGGACTTCTTATATAGATTTTAACGCCTACGTTTTCATTGTTCTTCTTATCTTGCTCTATTTTTTCCCCTGGTGTAACGAAAGGAGCTGCGTTAGATGAGGCACTTACAGTGTGGCATTGCGCTCGGTTCGCAGGGACATGCTCGTCACGGGATGAACGACGGCCAGGAAGCGATCAAAGGACATCAGCACCAGCGTGTAAACACTGCAAGTCAGAAGTCGGGAAGCGGGTTATATGGGATGTATGGGACATATGGCGTATATATTTTTGTATATAAAGGGGAGTGTGAGCCCACCTGCAGTGGCACGTAACCACAATCATGTACTGGACGAACTTGCACCACACATTGCCGAACGGCCATTCGGGCAGGACGTAATCGGTGGCCGTGAACGGGACGCAGAAGATGACGAACAGAATGTCCGAGACGGCCAGGTTGATAATCAGCAGGTTGGTGGTCGAGCGCATCTGCTGGTTGGCCACAACCACTGCAAGGAAATGCAAATTGAGGTGTATATATTAGTTATGGAAGTTTAAGACTTACTTTAAATTTAAAAAAATTATTTTAAGAATTCGATGGCTGCGATTTTAAAAACACCTATGTATAAAGCTCCCTAAAAGTATGATGTGCAAAAAATTCGACCTCGGACTTCCTCATTAAAAATATTTTGTTGCATAATTTTAAGCACCTTTATGGCGATTTCAAAACTTAAGATCCATTTTTATATTGAGTTCTGAAAATCAACTCACTCCAAAAAGCTAATTATATTTTACAAAATTATTGTTACATTTAAAAGAACTGGTTGAATTCTGCCTAGAATTTCGGGGTTATTAATTCTTTATTTTTAGCTGCCTATTAAGATTCTGAAATTTTTTCATATTTAGCTTCACTTCAGATGTGTTAGTCACCATTTGGGAGTGAGTTCCTTTCTCATAGAAAATTGTTAAATAAAATGAAAACTCATAACGTTAAGAATCTCGCTGCCATGGCAATGGTCCAGCTTTCACTTACTGTTGTGCGGGAGCCCCCCAACCCGCCGTGAATTTTCCGCCAGGCCCCCTTGCCCTTCCTTAAAAATCACCCGCCCCTGGCTTTGCCCTCCCAGTTTTTCTTTTCCACCAATTACGCGGACAAAAGGCAGCAAACAACGGAGACTTCTATACGAAATGTTTCAATGGGTATGTGTGTGAGGAGGTGAATGGGTGGGTGGGTGGTTGCGAGAGTGTGTAAGTGACATGGGTGGTGGGGTAAAAGTCGAAAAAGGGTGTGGCGAAACTCCACATTGTTACCATTTGGACTCTTTGTTGTCGTTTTTCTACTTTCACTTTTTTACTCGCTTTCCCTGAATTCAGCGTTCTCTTTATTCTGCCTTTAAAGCTCTCCCCATTCTTCTTAAAACGCCCACATTCCCCTTATTTTTCTCAGCATTTTTTCTTGCTGTTGTTGTTATATTCTTTCTTTTTTCTCTTGGCCAAAGGAGCCACTTGCAATTAGCCAACAATTTATGTAGCTCCACACAAAAGAAGCGTGACAAAGACATCCAAGAAAAGATGGGGAAGAAAAAATATAGAAATAGAAAAAACGACGAAAGGGGCTAAAAACGGTGTTGAACTGTAACAAAATGTTATTTGCCCCGAAACGAAGAGCCGATGAGTTGGATGCCAACGGATTGATGAGGGCCTGGGCCACGAAGCCAAAGGAAATACAAACTCAAAAGGCCAACAATCATTTGGGAGTAAAAAGAGAGGAAAAGTGGAGCTATACAGGTGGCGAAGTCAAAGGAAATGGGAAACGACACGCTGTGCATTAAAAAAAAAATTCAGGAAAATCTGAAGTAACAAAAAAAATTTTTCAATTAGATATTTTCTATTTACAATATTTTTACCATATTATCTATATCGATTAATTTTTTTACACCAATAGTTAGTTTAAAGGTATTCTTTTATTACATAGTTATTTTATATTTTCATCTATTTGTTTTCTGAGTGCACGGCACAAGGCGCGCCCGCAAATCAATTTCCTTTTCAAATATATATTTAGCACAGGATGTTTCAAGGTAAACAAAAAGCGCAAGCCGACCTAAAAAATAAGGAAAAAGAAAATCAGGCAACAGAGTAATAAGCAGCAGCAGGAACTGAAATATGCGAATCAATAGTAATGGCAACAATAAAAAGCCGGTGACAATAATACAAAAATTATTATTTGGGTTGCATGTACAAAAATATATACATAAGAATATATTTTATTATTTTATGTATACGAATAGAAGGCCAGAAAGCAGATGTATGCCATAAGGTGCTTCAACTGTAACCCCGTTCAAGAGCTTGCCAACTTTTTCTCCGGGGTTTCATTGTTTATTGCTGAATAGTTTTTGGCAACAGATTGGTAGCAAATTCTGGCCATTTTGGCATAGGTATTTGCATAAAATGGCCAACAAATATGGCAAGTAAATTAAATGGAAAGCTGGTTAAAAATGTAGTACATGTAGACCGGTAAAAACGGTGCTATTGTTAAAAAAAACGTATATTAAAAATGTTTAAAGATCAGTTCATTGCTTAAATAAATACAAATACAAAATAAGTAAATTAAAACTTAGGAAGAAGTAAATAAGAAATTAGAGATTTTAAAGATTATATAAATAACTTATGAAGTGCCTTAAACGTATTAAAATATTTTAGTTAAATTTATTTATTATTTTTTTTTATTTAAATATTTGTTTTCTGCACATTAAATTCCATATTTTGCGCCCTTTTCACTACTTTAAAATGGGTTCAGTTGGCAACTTTGTTTTTGGGGCTTTATCAATTAACAAAAGGCGGTACAGACCACTAGACACCCACTAGCCTCTGTGGTTAACCACCTTTTTGTGGCAACTGTTGACACACGAGAAGGATTCGCACAGCAACGAAAAAAAGGGTCCAAAAAGGGGATTTTTGTTGGGACATTAACTTTTTCCCCGCCATTAAAGGAAAAAGTGTGCCAGTTCTTTTTTTTCCCGTATTTTTTGTTTCTTGTCTGGCTGGCATTTTACAAAATAATAAAGTGTAGCATAATTTATGGGGCACGGCAGCAAAAGCGGCAAAAGTTCTTCAAGCGCAAAAAACGCTTGTTATTTAATGCTAGCCCACAAAAAAAAAAAAAAATAATAAAAAAAAAGGAAAATAAGTAGCGAAAAAAGGAGGCGTGTCACGTTGCCTCCGAAGCAGCTTACAAATAAACAAATAATCAAGCAGCAACATACGAACACACATGTGTGCCTGTGTGTTCTAGACAGGATTTCCTGTTCACTCGCATCTGGGGGCATAAATTCACTTTTATTGAACTTTAATGTCACTCTAATGCTCGCCCATTTCCATCGCCCTTCGTTAGCCCGCTTGTTGCCCCCATTTTCCTTCCTGTTTTTAGCCCTGTTATTGATGCACTTCAAGTCGCACACGGCGTATACGCAATTTGAGCCCTGATTTAGTAGGCAAAAGTGTGGATAGGTTTTAGCTCTTCGTCTAAAGTTGAAGTAAAAAGGTTTTCAATGTTAAGGAATTTTCGTTCTAATTTGTAATTGTCGTATAACGCTTCAGTTTCTAAGATTTATTGTTATTCTAAATTAAAGCTGGAAAATATCGATTCGATAATATCGATGTTTTGAAGAAAAAACTCAAATTAAATATTGAGAAATAACAAATTGTCGATATTTTTTTTAACTCTATTCAAAACTCCCATTTTTATTGGGGTTTTTAAATATTTCAGTTCCTAAGCCAAAAAGCTCCAGTTAAACTGGGTGATAAAATCGATTGGCCAACGTTTATTGAGTAATTGGAAATTACGGGCAGCTCAGGAGTTAATAAGTGGGCAAATTCGATGCCTCAAGTGTGCAGCGATTTAATTACTGTGGACTTAAGCTCCCTGACTCGGGGGATTTCCCAGGAAAGTAATCAAAAATTCTGTTGTTATTTTCGAGAGCTGTAAACTGAACGGAGTAATTTACGAGTTTTAAGCCTATTGTTTTTGTTTTTGGGGCCTAATGAAATCACAGTGGCTGATTATTTGGACACGACTCATTACGAAGAGGCATAATTTTAATGGCATTGAAATTTATTCTCAATTAAAATTTGCTATCTCGAAGTAAGAGAAGTTCCGTTCGAGTTTAGATATTAGGCAGTGGTAAAGGCGAAGGCAAAGGCAAAGGCGAAGGCCTTTGTTTTATGATCCAATTAAAGTCGGCCGAGTGTGTGGGTTTAAGACCATTAAGTGCATAAATGATTGCTCCTCGGATATGCAGGATATGCAGGGAATATTTCGGGCTTGCAGTTGTTGCCATGGGAAAACCCCATAAGTACAGTCCTAGCATCCTCCCCCCAACTATGGCAATTAATTTAAATTTTAATGCACAGCACAGACAGAAAGACATCCTGTTTTGGCACATGAATATCCGGTTACAAAGGACCCTGGGTCCATTGTCCTTTTCTTGGACCATTTGTGGGTCCTTCTGCAATCTTCAGACTCCCTGGAATCGGCGGTGCCCAGCCTTCATTATTTCTGTTTTGTTTTCTCTTCTTTTATTTGCATCATTTGCCAGCCTATACAAATACATATTTAATGCCAGACAAAAGGAAAACGGAATTCGGGGGGCGAAACTCGGATAAATCAAAAAAGGAAGAGGACATTTTGTAGGCAAAACTTGGCTAAGGACAGATTGGATTGGGTTCAGAGCGATGGCCTCTCGTTAGCTTAGATGTCTTAAATGTACAGAAACCATTTGCAATTGATAAGAGCGAATGGAAATAATTTTGTAATACCTTAATTAAAGTTTTGCTAAATGTTTATAAACAAGAAAAAATCAAATAATATTACAAAATTATGTTTACAAATTAAAGAAGACAAATTTAAGATTGAAAGTATGCAAAAACTAGCAGTTCAAGGTTTATTTATGTATGTTTATTTATGTCTCAGTCTCATCACACTGCGGTTGGTTAATTAATTACAAGACACCTGCTAGTCACTTACCCTACAAGGTGTCAGGCTCAACTATCAATCAAAACACATTACTAATCCAATCGACTGCATCTTGAGTCTTGAGTTCATTAAAATTGAATTGAACAGCCTTTGGGCAATCAATTAAAATGTCCTTCACGTTCAAAAGCTTCTTCCATCTTGCAAATTGTTTTTATTTGCTTAGACCACCTGAACTATTTTCAATTAAACAACTTTGTGGTAAATAGCTCCAAAAAACAACAATCAACTTTACATTACTTAAATCGGCAAATTTCTTTAGGGCTAAAAGTATATCTGATTTTTTATATCTTTAAATAAATAAAAATAAAGTAATAAATATTTCGTTTACATTTAAATACCTTTGCCTGCCTAGATAATATAGAGTATGCTTATACATGTATATATTGTAAATGTACCGTGAAGAAGGGACAGACACTTCTGAGTAACAATGCCATTTTACTCTTTACATTGACAACAATGGCAGCGGCATGAAAATCA